ACCTTGTAGTGACGTCAGTTAGTCGTCGGGAGAATATCGCAAGTTTTGGACTAGTCGTGACTAATAAACGAGACTCGTCGTAGAGACTTGCCTCGTGACGTCATCACAAAGGACCTCAGCCTCTCGCAGAATGTGCGATCTCGGGGGTGAAATTAAAAAGAAAGGACGCAGCTATCTCGAGCAAAGTACGTCGCAGTGGAGGGCGTCGGGGAAAATCGGGAGAGGGAGAAGCGCGATTACGACGGTCGGCGGTGAAAACGCGCGCGACGGCCGGGGAGCAAGGTGGAAAACGCGCGTCGCGTCGCGTAGCAATTACGGGATTCTCGTGGCGCCGCGGCGCGTTGACAGCTCGAAGGCTGGACCGGTTGCGCGTAAACGGTATTAATCACAATGCGCGCGTATTTGCGCGCTCCTCCGGCCGCCGAGCTGTTTGCGCGAGTGCCTGTCCGCGCGCTGACAGTTGGTTTGAACGCAATTAGCGTGGCCGCTCGTGATCTCGCGGGCGGGAAGGGGGGAGGGGAAAGAGCGGCGGCTATCCGCCGCGCGCGATCGCCGAGTCGAATTAACCGTTTCGCCGCGCTCGTCGCGGAGCGGAGCGCGACGCCGCGCGACGACGGAGGAGGCCGCTCGCTTGACAGGCGGGAGGGAACCCCCTCGCTACCTTGCGCCATCACATCCCGCTTCTTCGCCGCACCCTGTCGTCGTGTAACGCGCGTGGAATTGCCGTTACGTCTCTTGTTGTCGGCTTTCTTGCGGCCGGAGAAGCGCCGGACGTGACGGATTCGAGCCTGCGAACTTTGTACTTGGCGAGGAAGAGAAGTTCTCTCTCTCTCTCTCTCTCTCTCTCTCTCTCTCTCTCTCTCTCGGTGTTTGCTCGCGGCGCAGGTTGACACGTACGCACGCCGGGCGACCAGACGCGGTTTCACCGACGGAGAAGGAATATTCCGCGGGTTTATTCCGCGGCGGGCCTCCCCCGCTGATTCATTCGATCGATAAGCCATTAATGCGCGCATCGAGCCGCGACGAATCGCGCATATCGGGCCAAGTGTTACACTAAATGACTGCGATAATCTCGATCGCGCCGTTCCAGCGTGATGCGACTCGACGTCGGCGGCGCGGTAATCACGCGCGGTTATCAAAGCGGCAAGAAGCGAAATGCCTTACGACACGTTCGACGTGTCCGCTCCGCGTCCGCCGCCTCCTGCGTTCGGTGTGTGTGTGTGTGTGTGTGTGTGTGTGTGTGTGTGTGTGTGTGTGTGTGTGTGTGTGTGTGCTTCTTTGCGGACAGTCTCTCGGCGGCCACGAAACCGTGACCGTAAATGTAAATGGGCGACGTCGTCGCTTACCGTCGTGCTGGCGGCCGCGAGGGGCGAAGAAGCGGAACCGAAGAGGAAAGCCGAAAGAGGAAGAGAGAGAGAGAGAGAGAGAGAGAGAGAGAGAGAGAGAGAGGGAGAGAGAGAGAGAGAGAGTAAGAGAGAGGGAGAAGGAGAGGCAGAGTGGAAAGAGTCGATCGTAACGACGAGGCTCAACTTTATGAATATTATTTTCCAGCAGATGTCCTGAACGATAGGACGTCGTCGCCGTCGTCGTCGTCGTAATTAATGACGTCGCGAGTGCAACGAGGAGGGTGGCTCGAGTTCGGGACAGGTCGAAGACAGAGAGAGAGAGAGAGAGAGAGAGAGAGAGAGAGAGAGAGAGAGAGAGAGAGGGTGAGGACGAACACGGGAACGGTGTGACGGCATGGAGGGGGGGGGGGACATGCGGAGGCGGGTATGGAGATGCGGAGGCAGCGCGCGTAAGGGGATGCCGACGATAAGGAACCCGTAGGAAGGCAGCGCGAAACTGATGGCGGAGGTAGTTGGACGGCGACAGACAATGCGCGTGAATTATGCCGGAATGACTGGGTAGTTTTAAAGCCAGGAAGCCGACATTAGCGCATTGATACCGAACATTCTGACTGCGGGGAACCATTAATATTACTTACTTCATAACGCCGCGCGAGCGCGCGCGCGCGCGCGCGCGAGGGTCGGCGGGCGCGATGGAAGCGCGCGTCCCTCTCTCGCTCTCCCCCTCCGCCCCCCTCCCTCTCTCCCGCCTTCGTCCGTTCGTATAACGACTGCTTATCCGCCAGTCATACAGCCGAAATTCGCGCGCGGTTCCATAGTTATCACTCGCGCCGAAGAAAATGATCGATAGCTGCGCTTACGACGACGCTGCCGCGACGAGAACGACGATTTCGCGCTCGTTACTCTCTCTCTCTCTCTCTCTCTCTCTCTCTCTCTCCCAGCGTCTGCCTTTTCTCCGCGGCAAACGCAGACGAGATAATGACACAGAATCGTGGAGAAATCCGTTGATCCCGCGGAACTTTGCTCGCGTCCTCGCGCGCACAGTGCGCGCCTGTGCAAACTGGCCGAAACGGATTCGCCGCGCGAGCGAGACGAGATTAGTGAGATTTAATTGGCCGGGCGCGCTGGCGGCTGGATAGACTTGAGGGGAAGTCAGAGTTTTCCTCCGAGCGAGAGCAGATCAAATGGATTAGCGCGAACAAATCATCGGGATTAAAACGAAGCAGCGCGACGGGGGGAGAGACGGGGGAAGACAGCGCGCAGGCAGAGTAAACGCAGTCTTCGCTCGACATTCCGTGTGCTTGTAAAATCAAAAGGACAAACAATTAATAAAGCCGGCGGCGTCGATTAATCAGAATTTAACTCGCAGTTAAATACTCGACCGTGCGGCGGGATCGCCCTCGGCGCGGCAGCCGCGCGCGCGCGCGCGCGTATTTCGAGAGGGTAGGAGCGAGCGAGCGAGCGAACGGACGAGAGCGCGTGGGCCACGCAGGATAAACAAAGGTTTACATCAGTGTCAGTCGCAACAAGTCCGAATTCGTCTAGGGTTCTCGCCATGAATATTCACGCCGCTCGCCGACGCCGCCGCCGCCAACCCCTCCGCCGCACGGTTTCGTTTCGTTTCGTTTCGTTTCGCGGCCCCTCGCGCACCCCATTCCCCCTCGCCCCCGCGCGCCCCGCGTCGGCAACGGAGAACCCCCATTCCGCGGCCTCGTGCCCATTTACCACCCCCTGCGGCGATATCCATCGAACGGCCACCAGTCAAAGGCTGAAATCACAATACGCGTTGTCCGGTTGACGAAGTCGACGGTGGGGTCGACGGTAAAGCAAATAGAACGAGAGAGAGAAAGAGAAGAGGCGGCGCAGACGCGCGCGGGGCCGAGTGGTCGGCGGGGCTCGACCAGTGGTCATTGCCTTTGAATTGGAAATTACGTTTCGGACGCGGCCAAGTGTCGATTTTCGCCCCCATATTAACGGCTCCCCGCCGCCCGCCCCGCGCCCGCCGTCCGCCCACCGCCGCAGCCGCCGCCGCCGCCGTCGTGGCCGCGCGAGGACTCGCCCTCTCTCGCCCACGTGTCCTCCTCGACGACAACGACGACGACGAGGCGAAGCTGTGGAAGGATGCCGAAGAGTCCTGTGTCCACTCGTCGTGTTGCGCTCATCGCTCCCTCGCGCCCTTCCCCTCCCTCTTGTCCTCTCGCACGGCGCGCACGTCGAAAGTGCCCATCGCCAATTTTTTAATGGACTCTGGATATGTTCTCGGGGACGGCGGAGTAAGATTCGCAATTTCTCGCGAGGGGCTGAAACAAGCCCTCGGAAGTAACTGGAATATCTGATCTCCAGTCACGAATATCAAACTACGAGCAGCGATGTTTCATACAAAAATTTGAATATCCGCCATTGTAACGAGTATAAAATCTCATGCGTGGATCTCGTGCGTGGAGTAAAAGAACATTTTCCCGCACACCTCTTGCGTCGTCAATCTCCACGCGATTCGCTGCAGATCAGACATTCCGATCAGACCTCCGAGAGGTCGCGAGTCCTTTCTTCCCCGTTCTGCATATCCCAAGCCCTCGAGAGATCGCTAAACAACCCCCCGGGGGGACGGTTGACCCTCGCTTTCGTCGGCGTCTCGCGACTTTGCATTTCTTGTCACCAGCAAGCTCGAGGCTCGCTCGAGTGTCGCACATTGCGACGCGAAGGAGAGCGACAACGAAGCGAGCTCCGCAAGGTCTCAGCACCCTTCTCGCTCTTCAGTTGACGCGGGGCGAGGGGATGGTGATGGGGCAACGGCGGCAGCGGCAGCGGCAGTGGCAGCGGCGGTGGTGGTGGTGGTGGTGGTAGGCAAAGCCCCTTTCCGAAATCAACCCTTTCGGGGCGACGGCAGGCACGAGCGCGAGTGTTTCGGAGGCGCTCGAATGATTTAATCCCCGAATGATGGACGGGCACGTCGCGACGATGATCTGCGTGCCGTGAAGTGACAAGTGGTTAGGATCACGCGGAAACCTCGGTGGCTCGCTCTCGGCCGCGACGCCGACCTGGTGTGTGTGTGTGTGTGTGTGTGTGTATGTATTTGCGTATGTATGTATGAGCAGGGGGAGGGGGAGGGTGTCGGTATCGGTGAACCGAAGGCCGGCCGGTCGGATGGATTTTGGTCGGCGGATTGGGGGTGGGAGAGGCGGGCGAGCGGGACGGAACGACGCGGCGGAGGGGTCGGAGGGTTTCGAGCTCTCGCACGCGTACAAATCTAGTTGTGGCATTACTGCGTCAGGCCTGGACTAACTTGTCGCGCGACCGGAACTCGATAACCTTGCTCCGGGTAATACTGATTTATCGAAAGTGCAGCGGCCGGACTAGGCCGACGGCGGCGCGGCGGCGGCGGCGGCGGCGGCGGCGACGGGCCATCGTCATCGGCCGCGCTTTGTATTTTTTGCCGGGCGCGGCGTGATGCGCGCGATTTTTCCGGGCTAATCGAGAATTACGCGTCACGGCTGAGCGGCGAGTCGGGTCGGGGTCGGGGGAAGGGGACGGCCCCGAGATAATTTTTCCAGCGCCACAGGAGCGCGGGAGGAACAAGAGGGGAGGAGAAGCGCCGGACACGCTCGCGCGATCTCGCGAAGCTCACACACGGCTCGTCTCTCTGGATTGTCCTAC